GTGCAGCTCCTCCTCCTCAGAGCTGCATTTTCTGAGTTTCTAAGCAGTCCTGCCCTGCAACTCACCCACTGAGCTCCTTCAAACTATCCGGCAGCAATTAGCAAACATCCGACGGAACTGCACAGATCAGTTTTACGACTTCTGGTAAAAAGGTTCTCAAGGAGTTAGTAGCAGAGCGATGACTTCCTGAAGGCGGAGAATCAGAAAGAGTAGGAGTTTTTAAAGAGACATAGGCCCAATTTCAAGGTGTTAAATCAGGAAGTAGAATTTCTTTTAAGTCATATTTGATATTTTACATTGACATTTTACATTTTTATAACAACTGAAGATAACATAATTACTTGATTATGCTGTATAATGGCACCATGTATTAGAAAAACACACAATGCTGCTCCCTTCAGGATGTTGCTGCTATGCAAGATGTGCAGCAGCTGCATTTAACACATGATAAACATAACTTAAGAGTCGGGCCAAGGTTGTATAGGGCCCCATATGTCCTATTTATCACCAATGACCTCCAATCACTACAGCATCTTCTCTAACACATAGCTTCATTCATCTGACCACAGAGAAGAGTTCATCCCCAGAGGATGGACAACGTTTACATATTTTCTCTTGATTCTATTAGACTCTGATGTATTGTGTTGTTGGTGAAACACATTTTCTTTCACAACTGCCAAACATGTGGCTCCGCCCATGCTATCCACTCTGATCAGCTTCCCTGTCTCTCTGCAGAAAAAACAATCCCCACAGAATCATACTGCCTCCACCATGTCTCACTACGGGGCTGGTGTGTTCAGGACGACATGCAGTCTTCCTCCTTCACACGTAGCGGTTTGCAAGCTGACCTAAAAGTTTCATTTTGGTCTCATCCAGCCTGAGTGCCTTCTTCCACATGCTTGCTGGGACTTCCTGTTGCTGAGTTTCAATGATTGCTTTCTCCTGACCAATATTCTTCTTAAAATCCAGTAGAGTGTACTAATAACACATTCTGCTACCTGGGCTGTGGAGGAAAGTGGCTGCATTGGATTTTATTTAGGGGTATTCGATTAAAAGAGGTGTAAATACATGTTCCTAGGTTTTCATTTAATTACCTTCCTAATATATAATATAGCCTTTAATAAGTCATCGATTTTTTGCCTATTTCTTTTGGAAAGAAAGAGGTGGTGGTATATATGTATACTGTTTGTTTATTTGTTTTATTGTTTGTTTGTTTGTTGTTTTTTCCCCAAATCTTTTCTGGCAGCAAATGTCTTAGACGATTATTTTGGAAGGTGACGATTTGCAAACGGTTTGGGAATCAGACATTATGTCATTTCCTGTTCACAGATATTCACTACTTTGCGTTGGCTTTTCGCCTAAAACCCAATAAAGCAGAGTGAAGATTGTGAATGTAATGAGACATGACGTAAAAAGAAAAACCTTTGCAAGGCACTGCAGGTTATCAAGCTTTGTCAGTGTAGTACTTATTTATAGAACTAGAACTTGATATTTTTGCTGCTGCAACATGTTTTGTGCAGCAATCTTAAAGAAATTAATCAGTTTTTCCTAAATATTTTTCATTTGAAAAACAGAGGTCTGCTGAAAATCACCCAACTTTTTAGGATATGTGCGGTGTGTGTGTGTGTGTGTGTGTGTGTGTGTGTGCATTGTCCCACACGCTCTCCTCGCCCCATTGAACAACAGTGATGAAATGGAGATGAGTTAAAGTGCTCACACAAAGACTGACCAGACCCCTGCGTTGCTCCGACAATGAGACCTCCAAACACAAGAAAGTGAGAGCCTCTTGGAGAAGCTCAGCGAACGAGTAGAGAATGAGAGGGGGGAGAAATTAAGGAGACCGGCTTGAAAGGAAGAAAAGAGAGGGAGAGAGAAAGAGAAGAAGGGCCGAACCATCCTGAGAGCAGGAGGAAATGGATGGTGGGCAAAGGTAAGCGAGTGGAGAGCCACCCGGAGAAAATGGCAAGGTAGCTAATCCCTGGGGTGAAATAAAGCAGCTATATGTAAATGAAAGACGTGAAGTTTTGGGCCATCTCACTTTGATCTGTAAATCAGAAGCACCACTCCTCCTCTTCTCTTCTTCTTTCACTCTCACCCACTTCTCCTTCCCCATTTTTCCTTAAAGAAAAAAAAAATCAAGCCTTATTTAGCTTAATCTCACTTAATAGCATCCAGCTCCTCCTTTGTCCTGGCTGACGCTGACAGATTCCCGTCCCTTTTCACTCGCCACCATTCACATATCTCCCCCCTCCGTAATCCTCTTATTCCAGGGTGGCAATTATTTTGACCATTTTTTTTTTTTTAGATATATCAGCATTATGGTTATGATTATTCTCACTCCTGTTATTCACGCCGAGGGCCGGGTTGTCGGTGAAAATGTCGTCCCCCACGGCGCCTCTTCCCGTACGAATGTCCCCCCCTCCCCTCCTCCTACGGGAGGAGGAGGCTGCCCACTTTCTTCCAGGGAGGTGGCGAGTTTTCAGGAGTGAACCCCTCCATTCAGCGCAACACATTTTCTGGGCGTTTGAACATATTGTAGCGAGAGTGCGACGAGTAGCTCAGAATCACCCGTCCCGGCTCCTCCACACAGAGAGACATCAAGAATCTGCGGCTGGAGGAGCGAGAGGGGGCTAATAATCAAAAGGCCTTCTTTCAGCGCTGCGGTAATTACACGGGCCGGTTTTGATCTTTTGCTTGTTGGAGCAATGAAAGAGGGGCAAAGATGAGGACTGTTTCACCGGTTTCGTTTGACACGAAGAGGAGGCAGTGGAGGAGGAGGTTTCTAACTCGGCATCTTGTCGGCATCTTGTCGGCATCTTGTCAGCATCTGCAGCGCGTCAGGAAGGGCTAAAGTGAAATGTTTAGAGTTTTACTCCGAAAACCGCAGCAGGTTTTCACTCCTGATTCTTTGCAAAAAGTGAAGTGTCTAAGTAAAACGCTGGTGAAAGAACAAAGATGCAAACTGTGACGAAAAAATTTGACAGTAGATTTGTAAGGCAGTCACGTTTCTTTAACCCAAACCCAAAGAGAAGCTGGGTTATTTTAGCTCTACAGACGAGGCTGATCATCCTTCACAGACTGTTATTTAGATTTGAACAATAACCTGACTTCAGATTAAACACTGACATACTTTAACCCGATTAAGAACTTCATTTGCTTCAGTAATTCAACTCAAAAAGTGAAAATCCCAAACCGTACAGCTTAATTGCACACAGAGTGAAATGGTTCAAGTGTTTATTTCTGTTCATTTTAAACTCAGATCCTCGTAAAATATGAATCCAGTTATATTCAGTAAGTTATAAAGTGTTCCAATGAGGCTCTTTTGTCAAATGTGAAGTACACTTTACTTTTAATTAAACCCACATTTCATTTCACTATTAAAAATGTTTTTTTTTCATTGCTATAATATGGTATTTCAATCTTAAATGTCATATTTTTTATTATCTGGAAGCAGAAAATGATCTGAGCTAACAGAAATAAAGGTTGACTTTGTGAATTGAGTGAATGAAATAAATTAACTTCTCAATAACATTTTAACACATCGAATGGTCCTGTGTTTAAGAATAATCAAAAAAGATTCTTTTTAATTCAGAAAAGTCAGTCTGTTAAGAACCTTCCTCTGCACTCAACGTTTGGTTGGTGCTGCTTTGGCAGTGATTCCTGCGTCAGCGGCGTGATGAGGTAACGACATGCTGGTTAAAGCTTCGGCTGCCAAGTCCTACTGGAACATCGAATCAACTTTTCGGTCAAACTTGTAAGCAGATCTTGGACTTCTGGCTGCCACGGCTCCAAATATGGCCACTGAGTGTAAAGATTTCACACTGGACTGGATTTAAAACTAATCTACTAATATAGACTAAAAACCCACCTGCGTAGAGTTGCTATTGAAACATAATCAATGAGAAATTCACCAACGATCTGATGTGCACTTGAAAAATTGTAATGTTTAAATTATTGACTGTGTTTTTATGACTTTGTGTTTTTATGATTTTGTTGCTGTAAGGTGGTAGTCAAATAAAAATTGATCGATTGGTGGATGGGCCTGCGCATCTCCACTCCTCCTTAGTCTGGTACCTTGATTTCTGAATCATTCAATGTTTACTTTCCTCTGAGAAGAGGGTTTTGAACCACTGGATGTAAACTCTGTGCGCGGTGGTCCGACTCCAGGTCCGGTTCCACGCCTTGTGAATATCCCACAAACTCTTAAACGGGTTTTGCTTAATGTCGACGAGACATTCGCGTTTTTACATAGATTTTTACCCAGAATGCAAATGGCAAAAAACCGTTAGTGAAACGGTGACTGGGACTGACTAGTATATATTCCATTGAGGGAAAGTTACTTTCACATCTGCTCAAGAGCCCCCCTGGTGGTTGAAGAAAAATCCACATATAAACCAGAAAATACAATATATATAAAAAAAAAAAAACACTAAATGCTCTTTGGGTATGAGGAAGCGGGCCGGATCTGGCATTGTTCAGGGGGCCGGACCAAATGACGTGGCAGGCCGGATCCAGCCCGCGGGCTGTAGCTTGGGGACCCCTGAACCAAAGTCTTCCAGGACTCCACTGAAGAGAGGCTGGCCTGAGCAAAAAGGTTCTGAGTTCAGATCCCTGCATGGTCATCCAACATCATTTGGTTTGGTTCATTTAGGCTGTACTGCATAATTTAAATTTTATGTTATGCATGGAGGAAAGAGAGTGGTAGCTCTGTGTTTTATTTAAGGAAGACATAAATGGGGGAACTCTAAATATTTAACGATAATGTTCAGCTTCAATGCACAAAGTTCCACAACCAGTATATCAATGTGTCTGTTTGTTGTTTTCTGTAATGTTTCATGAAGCTGCGCTTTTATGTTTACCTAGAACATGGCAGAGACGGTAAACGCATCACAAGGACATGAATATATTTTCTATATTTAAAACAGGCATCATTTTCTTGGAACACATTTCTATTTCAAATCTCCTGGAAGTAATTTGAGCAAAAAGTCAGAAGCAAAACATTTGACTTTGTGAATCTTTATTCTGAGTATGTCGCTTTAAACAATATAAAGATAGAAACCAAAATGCACAACAGATTGGAACATGTTCAGGTTCGTCAGAAAGACGTAAAAAACCTATTCCTCTGCAGCTGCAGCTAAAATTTGCAGCCAACAACAGCATTTGATTCAATTTAAGGTCAGACTAAGCTTTTCGACTTCTGTTACAATTTCAATAGTTTACAATAGTTGGATGCAGTTCGGTCGATAATTGGAAATGTGTGTTACATTCAATAAACAAGAAAAAACTCATCGAATGAGGTTCTTGCTTGTCTGTGGTGAAGGAGAAGAAAAATAATGCCATGTTAAAACCAAGAATATGTGATAAAACATACAGATAATACGAAGCAGAACAGCATAATGTGCTCGGATAAAATCAGAACAAAACTGTGAGTAGTGTAGTAACATTTCATGAAGACGTTAAACTGTTAGAAAAATACTAATTCCTATAAAAAAGCTTGCATAATGTGCAACAATCATAGAGAAATCCCCCTGCAGGCTTCGAGTCTTCACTTTGGGAATCTGGGAGCAGGTTTGGAGTGGTTGAATCTGGGCAGTCTGCAGACTCCACAGGGGCAGGGGGCCCCACCTGCGGCCCCCACAGAGCTCCACTGCACCGGGGCCAGCGAGGCCTCCATGTGGCCTGGAGGAAGCGGGGCGCATTTAGCAGCTGAGGAGGACAGTGAAGGGGCGGAAGAAGAAGAAGCCGACGACGAAGAAGAGGTGGTCGAGGAGATGAGGGACTCGTGGGTGAGGAGGAGCTGGCCGGGCCCCGCAATGAGGGGCCACCCACCGGCAAACAGCAGCCGGGGGACAGGCCCAGCGTTCACCCCCATGCCGATGCTCACCTCACCCAGCAGCCGCCGCATCTCCTGCAGAGACGAGCCCAGGAGGAGGATGTAGTTCCTGGCCAGAACCAGGGTGGAGATTTTGGAGAGCCTGCGGCCCGGCGGGGCCCCGGGCGCGTGGGACTGAGAGGGAGAGGAGGAGGAGGAGGAGGAGGAAGCGTAAGGCACCATGACTTCCCTCAGGGCGTCCATGGCGACGTTCAGGTCCTGCATCCTCTTCCTCTCCCTGGAGTTGATCTTCCGCCTCAGCTCCTGCTGCTCCTCAGGACTCAGCTCCTTCTGGGGCTTGGCGGCTCTCGCGCCGCCCTGCAAGCCGAGGAGCGGTGCCGCAGTCAGGCGGGAGTTCAGACCGAACCCCGGGGGGCAGTGGGGCAGGTCGTGCACCGACCCGGGGCCACAGAGAGGCAGCGACTGCTCCTGGGCCCTGGCAGCTGTGTTCGACAGCACGTTCATCGTCAGCTCAGAGGTCAGCGAAGTCACGCTCTACTCTGGCTGTAGAAGGAAAAAAAATGTAAAAAAATACTGATGCTTTGGAAAAAATAAACGTCCCCGACCTGGAGAATCAACTCTTCATTCTCTTCTCCTCGTGTCTGAGCTTGAAGACGACTGCCAGCTGCCATCCAGCACAAGCAGAGTTTGAATCTTGAGGTTGGTGCCACGTTAGCCGCGTCAAAAGGCGGCTTGTTAAAGCAGCGGCTCCGACATCTCGTCTCCACAGCTGTGAGAGGCAGGAATCTCAGCTCAAAGAGCCGGAGCAGTGAGCTAAATGCTGCTCTTACATAGCCCCACCTCAGCTCAACCCCTCCCTAACACTTCCTCATCCAGCATATGTTTGCAGAGACAAATCCGCAAGAGTCAGAAGTTTCAAACGCTGAAGGAGAAATATAATAACGCAAAGTGCGCTGGTGAAAAGTCGGGAAGAAACGATTCGGGATACTTTATTTCATCCAGTGCAACTGGATTTATTCAGCTGTTTGAGCAGCAACGTGCAAAGCAGCGCGAGAAGTGTAATAATGTGATTCTTCTTCCTTTAAATGACTGAATTTATTGTATCCTGGCTTATAAAAGCAAAGTTGTGATCTCTACAAAAGTGCCTAGTAAAATTATCCATAATTCTTAAACATTTTGCATTTAGTCACACTGCAGTCAGATTCAGTGTATTTTAATGGGATTTTATGTGAAACGCCAACACAAAGCAGGGCAAAAATTGTAAAATGGACAGAAAATTATTCAAGATTTTCACAGATGAAAATCCCCCTCTTTCTCACTTTTCTCGTACCTCAGTTCAGATATGATGCGGAGTGTCTGTAGACAGAAATTTGCGTGGAGCAGTCGACATGACTTTGCCTGATGAGGTGGTAACAGAAGATGCCCTTTAAACCATCTACTTGGCAGCATTTGGGTGACAGACAAAACACAGCAATATGTAAGCACTGCAGTTTGTTCAGATGCTGAAAGCGGAAGAAAGCATCACTATAGCAACCAATGGTTGGAGATCTAGGAGTAAGTTGAGCTACAATCCTAGCACATCCTGTAGCAACTGGGTAAACCAATAAGTTGTCTCAAGGCCTGAAAATATGAAATAAATCAAGAAAGATGTAAGTTTGTTGAATTTGTGGCAAAATGTGTGTTGTTGCATCAATATAATTCTTGAAGTTTTCTTGAAAACAATATTAAAATCTCATCCTGTCATTCACTGCAATAACACAAAATTGCAGTGTGTTATTGCAGTGACACACTGCAATAACAGTGTGTCACTGTTATTGCAAAAAGACAAAAAGTAGACTTTTTGTCTACTTTTTGAAAGTAGACAAAAAGTAGTATTTTTGTCTACTTTCTAGTGCGAAAATCTTATTACACTTGAAATAAAACAAACAAACAAAAAAAACTAACTTGTTTTAAGTCAATAATTACTTTTAAAAAGGTACTTGTACCACTGAGTTTATTTCATTCATATCATGGGAAAAATGTCTTGTAAGTGAAATAATCTGACAGTGGAATTAATCATTTTTCATCAATATTATTAAATTATTAAAGTAATACAAGCTCCCATGTCTTGCTGAAAAGTTACTTGTAAGTTTGTTTGTTTTTTTTTGTCTTATTTTAAGTCTACTAAGATATTTGTACGAGAAGCTAAACCAAAAATACCAACAAAAAAAAAAAAGAGTTTGTGTCTTTGCAGTGTTCTCTTAAACTCACAGCGTTATCAGTTCGGATATCAATACCTACTGACACAGTGAACATCACGTTTCCACTGTTCATATAAAATCAGCCGACCCTATCGCCCGGCTTCATGGAGCAATATTTGAATCCTCACCACTCGTACCTCCAAGCCATTGCTCAAAATCTAGGAATGAGGGAAACGCAAGGAAATGGGATTCAGCGCCTAATTAAAAGCTGGAGGCACTAATGAATAAAAGACAAACAACATTATGGGCTTAATGGAATTTACCACTAAAACCATTTAACAAGCTGAAAGCCATTAAAGCCATCAGCACTTTAAGTGACGGAGAGCAGGTATAAGCACTATTAGGGTGGGTATTAATTGTGTCAGAGAACAGTTTTGGCAAACAGTGAATGGATCCGTCATTGTGCCAGGGGGGCTGGGGAAGTTAATTGACGGTTTAGAGGTGGGGGTTATTGTTGCTCAGCTCTGAGCGGGCCTCGCTATAACCAAATTGGCCAGCGGAGAGTTTGGGCACGGATCCAGGCAGCCCCAGACAACAGCCCAATTGACTCCAAGCACAGGTGAAGCTGGCCTGGGGCACAGAGGCAAGGCTGAAAACCTCAAACGTGCCATTCATTAGCCACAAAAAAAGACCTCAGGATCACCCCGCCGCTCAGCGAGCCTGGCCGTCCTCTCCTTGCCCTGTGCTCCCCCCCAGTCTGAGCCCATCTGAGGGGGCAGAAAAGGAAGGCTGGGGGAACGAGGCGAGGGACCGCACCGTCACAAACAGAAAGCAAGTTGTTCGCGATGAAAGCAGAAGGAGGAAGACCCTTTTTTTCCTTCCCAGCCGTTCCTCCCCTGTCATCCCGGGCAGTGCGTGGAGGCGCTTCCCTTCCCCGCCAGTTGGCCGGTGGCGTCCGGCTGGTGCTGTGATTGAAGCTGAATGGGCGGCTGCAGACGGACAGGAAAGAGAGGGCTCCATGAAAAGGGCCAGGCGGATGGCCCTCGCACCTGCGGGAGAACAGAGTGCGGGCGCCCAGGGCTGAATGTGTGAATGCGCGAGCGTGCTCGGGGTGTTTGCGTGCATTGCCTGCGAGCTCAATTCGACTTCTAGTGCCCGTCACCACAAAGGGGTGTAATAAACCGAGCCGTGAAAGAAAACCTTGGGGTAATTTTGTCTTTCTTGACTGTATTTTAGGATTGTTTCCATGTCAAGGAGGGCGGTGGTTGTGGGGAGGGACACCTGCAAGGAGCCACACATACAGAAGTCAGAATAGGGGGGGGGAATGAAAGAAAGAAAGAAGCTGGTGTCCCCCCAGAATGGAGCACCTCCCCCACGTTTTCTCCGCCACTCACAAGGGAAAGAAAAGTGAGCTTGATTTGGGGGCATATCCGCCTCCAGCTCGCAGCTTCTTTTGATGAGGCTGGGCCCGGGCTGGAGCACCGGTGGCTTCAGGGCAGGAGGAAGACTAGTGTCTTTATGGTGGAAGAAGTGTCGTCCATCTGGGCAAGGCCGTCCAGTGAGGGGTCTGCACCTGGGAGCTAAATGCCTCATCTGTGTGGAGCTGTTTCCTGTGGCTGGCAAACAGGAAGACACCTCAGCCAAACTCCTGGGTCAATCTATCGCCCACACTGAGGGGGAAAAACACACCGCAAGTGATACCGCGCTCGCTCTCGTTGTTGTTTGGCTGTTCTGGGGGATCAAACATCAACTTAATGGTCAATTAAGTTGCAAAAAGTTTACATTTTTCTCAAACTTTTTCACTTTTTAACCACAAATTCAAATGTGGTTAAATTTTGGAAGAAAATTACATGTAGTTTTACCTTCTTTCCCCCCCAATAATTATCTTACAAATGTAGCATGGCTTTGTTTTCAGTCCCTTTTAGCTTGTGACACCCCTAAAGACTTAGAGCAACCATCAGATATCATGAAATTAGTAAAACGCATTCAACTGTCTCTAATTTCCAAAGTCATATTTTGGAAAAAATAAAAAAATAAATAAGGCATCCTGCGTAAAGGTTGCGATACGCCATGTAGGGAATACATCTGAAGATGCATTGATTGGCCCACGCCTAAAAAAAAAACTGTGTGGTGAAAAACAGTTTCTACATCATCGCAACCTAGCTGCGAAAAATGGTGGAAAAATCGTTGTTAACATCATGTGGGTATGCTTTGATTAGAGAAGACAAATGGATCTAAATCTATGTTTATATTTAAGAAAAAAAAAACTTTACAGAAAATTCAAAAGACTTGAGATTGGGTCAGACGTTGAGTTTCCTGCAATGATGACCAAAAACAAGCAGCAACAGCTACAGTGGTTTACATCAAAGCATATTTTGGTGCTACAATATTCAAAGTCTTAGAATCTCATTGGATCTTTTGCAAAGAAGGGAAAGACACTTTTATGTCCAAAATGTGGTAACTGTAAAGAAATGACTCTGTGGGGATAAACACCTCTCAGATTTTGAATTGAAAGGCAATTTTTTTTAACTATCTGACCTTTTCCATCTTATGCGCCTCTTTGTAAGGCTCTTTGACATCAAAATTAAGAAATATATTTAACGAACTGAAAGTCAAACACGAGAAAATGTGAAAAAGTTAAGGGCTATGGATAGTTTTGCAAAGCGAATTGTCCACTAGAAAAGTTCAAATCGTTTTTTGACAGAGCGAGCCAAGGCATTAAACGAGGGGCTGCACCTGCTGCAGGCTTTCACATCCCAAACCGTCTCCTGTCTGCAATGTGCAAAGAGAGCGTAATGAGAAATTAACAGTTGCCAGTGACTGATTTGCTCAATGTGTCAAACAGGTGCAGCGGCAACAATGGAAATATAACAGAGCTGGACTTTTCAGAACAGAAAAAAGCTGCTCTGCATCAAAGCGGAGACAGAAGACGCACTCGTCTATTCGCGCCGGCCCCTGCTCGCCAAGGCCCCGGCCAAAGACATGAGAAGATTACAAGCTGTTAATAAGGTGGAACCAATCGGCTGAAGGTCTGCTTTTGTCCCTCCCAGCATGCTTTGTGAGTGCCGGCCTGGGATAGTCGGCATTTGGTGCTGATCACAGTGTGGCGGAGGGATAATGACTGTAGGAGGGGTGCAAGGTTTTAGCCCTCGGGCCCTTTGTGAAAGAGAGCCTAAATGCTTCACTTTCAATGGCCGCACACGCTTAGCTGGTCACGCTTGTTTAAAAACAGATGGACATTTACCACATTCATATTTCATCTCGCTAACAGCTCCGGTGACACTTTTACACATTCTCTGCGTTTCATTGGACAGATCTGTGCCTACAGTAGCTTCACAGGCTGCGAATCAGAATAATTTAAGAGATTTATGCGCGCTTCTGTGATTACAAGAATCAAAGCTAAAGTTCCTCAACCCTTTGCTGTGGTCACTTAAAATCATCCCAAACACAACCGTGAGTTAGTGACTGTCCATTGTTACGGCAGATGTTCATCTCCTAAACAACGCCACCAGGGATTTGCTGGGTGTCTGCTAATAGGAGGGTGTTAGTTAACCCGTCCCCCCACCGTGCATCCCTGAAGCCCCCGATCCCATTTAACCGTGACAATGATGGATTCACAGAAACTAAAGTT